ATGAAGTATTTTAATTTATTGATTAAAATTGATTATTTATTAAACAATTTATCACGGAGCCTTTCGTTATGCTAATTATTTGTATCTACAATTCGATTGTTTTACTTGGCGTTCTCTCACATCCTAAATTATATTTAGATTATCAAGTAGAACGATAAAGTAACACGGACGAAATATATTTGTGATTCTAAATATTAAAATAATAATTATTGTCCGTAAAAATCGCAATTATAAAAGTGATTATTTTATATTTCAGATCCCTATAATTTAATCAATTTTCGATTAAATTGTGTATTTAATTAACAATGATTGAGAAAATTTAAAGCATTGGTCGAAATATAGTTAATTCTAATATTATTAAAGAAATGTTACAATAAGCATTATTGATCGATATCATAACATAATTAATTTTTTTATCCTCTTTTACGTATCCCGTGTTTCAATCTTTGTTCCCAGTAATGAATGATTGCGATACGATAAAGATTTATCGTTGCAATACAGTTTCATGTCGTTAATTAATTTTTAATTAATTATCATTTATTAATATTCTTAGCAAATTATGTTTTAAGACTAATCATAATCGTGTTTAACAAAAAAAATTATAATATACAAAGCGTTTCTCACCACAACTTTATTACTCGAGAGTCACTGTGCGAATGATGACAAAGCGGTAACGTATAGAACGCTAATGTTTATATTTTATATTGCCAAAATCGAACACCGTATTATCGATAATTTGCTGAAATGTTTTATAAATTGTAAAATATACATTAACGCAGAATCTTAAGTTAATGAAGTATTTTAATTTATTGATTAAAATTGATTATTTATTAAACAATTTATCACGGAGCCTTTCGTTATGCTAATTATTTGTATCTACAATTCGATTGTTTTACTTGGCGTTCTCTCACATCCTAAATTATATTTAGATTATCAAGTAGAACGATAAAGTAACACAGACGAAATATATTTGCGATTCTAAATATTAAAATAATAATTATTGTCCGTAAAAATCGCAATTATAGAAATGATTATTTTATATTTCAGATCCCTATAATTTAATCAATTTTCGATTAAATTGTGTATTTAATTAACAATGATTGAGAAAATTTAAAGCATTGGTCGAAATATAGTTAATTCTAATATTATTAAAGAAATGTTACAATAAGCATTATTGATCGATATCATAACATAATTAATTTTTTTATCCTCTCTTACGTATCCCGTGTTTCAATTTTTGTTCCCAGTAATGAATGATTGCGATATGATAAAGATTTATCGTTGCAATACAGTTTCATGTCGTTAATTAATTTTTCATTAATTAACATTTATTAATATTTTTAGCAAATTATGTTTCGAGACTAATCATAATCGTGTTTAACAAAAAAAATTATAATATACGAAGCGTTTCTCACCACAACTTTATTACTCGAGAGTCACTGTGCGAATGATAACAAAGCGGTAACGTATAGAGCGCTACTGTTTATATTTTATAATGCCAAAACCGACGCCGTATTATCGATAATTTGCTGAAATATTTTATAAATTGTAAAATATACATTAACGCAGAATCTTAAGTTAATGAAGTATTTTAATTTATTGATTAAAATTGATTATTTATTAAACAATTTATCACGGAGCCTTTCGTTATGCTAATTATTTGTATCTACAATTCGATTGTTTTACTTGGCGTTCTCTCACATCCTAAATTATATTTAGATTATCAAGTAGAACGATAAAGTAACATGGACAAAATATATTTGTGATTCTAAATATTAAAATAATAATTATTGTCCGTAAAAATCGCAATTATCAAAGTGATTATTTTATATTTCAGATCCCTATAATTTAATCCATTTTCGATTAAATTGTGTATTTAATTAACAATGATTGAGAAAATTTAAAGCATTGGTCGAAATATATTTAATTCTAATATTATATTCTAATATTATATAGAAATATTGTAATAAGTTTCGATGATCGAAATATCGAAACATAATCTCTTATCCTCTTTTATGTACAACCTGTTTCAATTTTTGTTCCCAGTAATGAATGATTGCGATACGATAAAGATTTATCGTTGCAATAGAGGTTCATGTCGTTAATTAATTTTTAATTAATTAACATTTATTAATATTTTTAGCAAATTATGTCAAATTATGTTTCAAGACTAATCATAATCGTGTTTAACAAAAAAAATTATAGTATACGAAGCGTTTCTCACCACAACTTTATTACTCGAGAGTCACTGTGCGAATGATGACAAAGCGGTAACGTATAGGGCGCTACTGTTTATATTTTATATTGCCAAAGTTGAACGCCGTATTATCGATAATTCGCTGAAATATTTTATAAATTGTAAAAGACATTAACGCAGAATATTAAATTAATGAAGTATTTTAATTTATTGATTAACATTGATTATTTATTAAACAATTTATCACGGAGCCTTTCGTTATGCTAATTATTTGTATCTATAATTCGATTGTTTTACTTCGCGTTCTCTCACATCCGAAATTATATTTAGATTATCAAGTAGAACGATAAAATAACACGGATGAAATATATTTGTGATTCTAAATATTAAAATAATAATTATTGTCTATAAAAATCGCAATTATCGAAATGATTATTTAATATTTTGGATCTCTATAATTTAATCGATTTTCGATTAATTTGTATATTGTTTTATTAATAAGGATTGAGAAAATTTAACGCATTGGTCAAAATATATTTAATTCTAATATTGTTAAAGAAATGTTATAATAAGCATCATTGATCGATATCGTAACATAATTAATTTTTTTATCCTCTTTTAGGTATCCCGTGTTTCAATTTTTGTTTCCAGTAATGAATGATTGCGATTCGATAAAGATTTATCGTTGCGATACAATTTTATGTCATTAATTAGTTTTTAATTAATTAATTTTTGTTAATATTTACAGCAAATTATGTTTCAATACTAATCATAATCGTGTTTAGGAAAATAATACAGTATACGAAGCGTTTCTTACCACTATTTCACTCGAGAGTCACCATGCCAATGATGACAAAGCGATAACGTATAAAGCGCTACTGTTTATATTTTATATTGCCAAAATCGAATGTCATGTTATCGGTAATTCGTTGCCAAAATATTTTATATATTATAAAATACATTAACGTGAAATATTAAATTATGAATGTATTTAATTTATTGATTAAAATTGATTATTTATCAATCAATTCACGGAGTCTTTTGCTAATTATTTGCATGCATAATTTAATTGTTTTAGTTCGTGTTCTCTCACAATCCAAATTATATTTAGATTTTCAATTAAATTTCGATTCTCAATTAAATTGTACATTGTTTAATTAACAAGGATTGAGAAAATTTAAAGCATTGATCGAAATATATTTAAGTTTAATATTATTAAAAAAATAATATAATAAGCATCGATGATCGAAAGATTATGTTTAATTCTCTTATCCCTTTTTATGTATTTTCTGTTTCAATTTTTAATTGCGGTAATGAATGATTACGATTCGATAAAGATTTAACTGTATCGTTGCGACACAGTTTCATGTCGTTAATTAATCTTTAATTAATTAATTTTTGTCAATATTTATAGCAAATTATGTTTTGATACTAATCGTGTTTAGTAAAAAAATTACAGTATACGAAGCGTTTCTTACCACTACTTTACTCGAGAGTCACCGTGTGAATAATGACAAAGCCATAATATAGCGCGCTACTGTTTATATTTTACATTGTCAAAATCGAACATCGTGTTATCGATAATTCGTTACCAAAATATTTTATATATTATAATATATACATTAAAGTGAAATATTAAATTATAGAAGCATTTTAAATTATTGATTAAAATTGATTATTTATTAAACAATTTGTCACGGGGCCTTTTGTTATGCTAATTATGTGCATCTATAATTCGATTGTTTTACTTCACGTTCTCTCACATCCTAAATTATATTTAGATTATCAAGTAGAACGAGTAACACGTATGAAATATATTTGTGATTCTAAATATTAAAATAGTAATTATTATCCGTAAAAATCGCAATTATCGAAGTGATTATTTAATATTTTAGATCCCTATAATTTAATCGATTTTCGATTAAATTGTGTATTTAATTAACAAAGATTGAGAAAATTTAAAGCATTGGTCAAAATATATTTAATTCTAATATTTTAAACAAATATTGTAATAAGTATCGATGATCGAAATATCCCAACATAATCTCTTATCCTCTTTTATGTATAACATGTTTTAACTTTTAATCGCGGTAATGAATGATTGCGATACGATAAAGATTTATCGTTGTAATACAGTTTCATGTCGTTAATTAATTTTTAATTAATTAACATTTATTAATATTCTTAGCAAATTATGTTTCAAGACTAATCATAATTGTGTTTAACAAAAAAAATTATAATATATGAAGCGTTTCTCATCACAACTTTATTACTCGGGAGTCACTGTGCGAATGATGACAAAGCGGTAACGTATAGAGCGCTACTGTTTATATTTTATATTGCCAAAATCGAACGCCGTATTATCGATAATTTGCTGAAATATTTTATAAATTGTAAAATATACATTAACGCAGAATCTTAAGTTACTGAAGTATTTTAATTTATTGATTAAAATTGATTATTTATTAAACAATTTATCACGGAGCCTTTCGTTATGCTAATTATTTGTATCTATAATTCGATTGTTTTACTTCGCGTTCTCTCACATTCGAAATTATATTTAGATTATCAAGTAGAACGATCATGGAATGAATTCTGGATTTTTCGGACTATTCCCGATAGCAATGATTTCCGTAATATATATTCGTAATATATATAATTTTATTTCTTTAATCTGATTTTATTTTAAAATGATAACAAAATTAATTAACAATAAAGAATTTTTTGTTGCTAGGATGTTTAACTTAAATCATAATATTTTAACGACCAAATGTTGTGATTAAAGAAAATAAGAGATTTATACTTATAGAATATCATGACGAGAATGCACAGTGGGAAATGAAAATATATGATCAAATTCGGCGATATATTTTTCTGGCAAAACACCTTTCGTTTGAATATCAAGAACTTCAAAGTCGATTCGTTCAGTGTTATCATAATTTTTTCTATCATATTCGATCATGCTTTCTGAACTATCGGTACCTATCAATAAGCAATAATTAAGAATTAGGGGATAATTTTATCTTAATTATATATTCTTATATAATCGATTATATTCTTACCTATTATTGTCGATTTTCGATGAAGCTTCGGCAAAAGAAAATGTCTCACTGTATATCCGAAAGAACAATTAATTTCCATGCATTTTCCAGGTGGCACTAACCCTTCATATTTTAGATCCCATGCGTCTGTATAGAGACTAACATTTTTTTCTTTTAAAGTTTCCTCTGGATTGAACTTCATTATTTTTATGGAATCAAAGACGTACAAAATTGATGACACTAAAATGTTATTACTTTTTTATAATCTGTTCATTAAACTAAAAATATTACATTGTTCAACTAATTAAAAATATTTATGTGTTATAATATTTTGAAAATTCCACGATACACTTACACAACGCACACACGGAATCTGTACAGAACGTACAATATAGTCCAACTGTTGCATATAGAATGAGACCCAAAATTTTGTATGGCTTCTCGGGCACGCAGTCAAGTTTGGGGGTATAACGAAGTGGGGAACAGCTATTGTGTCTACTTAGTGCAGGTAAGATATTTGTATTTTGTCTCAGTGGTCAGTTGAACTAGGCCTTCTGATTGGTCAATCTGTTATTGGTCCAATCGCACCGTGGCTAGAAAGTCATTTCATTTTAGGGCGGTAGACTTTCTCTTTTTTTCGGCTATTGTATATCTATTTTGACTGTTTTCCGACATTCCTCGCCAATACTGAAAATCTATAGTTTAAGTTACGCATACTATATCTATATGTATCTCTTATATATCTATATGTATTTATTCTTTATCTTTATAGATTGATAAATAAGTATAGGAACTGGCGATTTTCAAAAAAATTTTTTATTATTATCTTGAGTCTAACAAAATTGAAGAATGATAGATGTTACATTTATATACAAGTCGAAATTTTCGAAAAATATGTATATTAATCCGATCTGTGTATGAATTGTATCTTTTATGCAAACGATAATATTACGAAACCATCTCTCCTTCATTTTTTCTTCTTTTCATATCTTTTAAATTAAGACAGCAATATCGCATACGATTTTTGACGAGCGATTACAATTGTAGTAACAAGTTATGGGCTGACATGTTTCCGGAATTCTTCATTACAATTTTGCAAAAAATTGATTTTAATTTTTTTTTAATTTTCTTGCATATTTATGATTTTACAAATAATCTCTCAAAAGAGTTTTCGTCGTATATGAACAAAAATTTTCAGACATTTATAATATACAGTAAGACTGAGAACCTATTCATAAGAACAATAGACTGATATCCTATTCATATGAAATAATTTATGACTTGCGAATGGAAAAAGATTTTTCTTTTATTTTTGACTATTGTGTATCTATTCCATACATATATTGACAAATGATAATAGAAAGTAGCAAAGAAAAAAATTTTTATTTTCCTCTAAGTTGACTAAAGAAAAATTGGATATTACAATTAAAACACGACGACGAGCAATTGCCATTGTCATAACGATGTAGCATGCCCCTGTAGGAATGTTTTAAAATTTCTATACTAAAATTTTGAGAAATTTATTTTATTTTTCTTACATTTTCTTTCATATTTGTGATTTTAATAATAATCTTCTAGGAGAGGTTTTATCGACATATGCAGAAAATGAGAAATTTAGGCATTTATGATTTATAGTAGGTAACTGAAATCATGTTTATTTAGGATTCTTTACGAACGACGGGGGGGCGGTGGGACTAACAAGCTTTCTTTCATTTTCGACTATTGTATTCGTCGTATAATACATAAACTTACAACTGACAGTGAAAGTAGTGAAAGAAACAATTGTTATAAATGTCCTGACTGATAAAATTGTAGAAAACTAGATATTACAATTAGAACACACAAATTGAAATTTTGAAGAAATGTATATGAAATATGGATCCGATCGACATTCTTTTATGGTTTGTATAATCCATGCGAGCGTTAAAGCTATGTGACTATCTTGCCGCTTTTTCGCTTCTTCTTCTTCTCTCTTTTAAATTAAGAAAGCGATATCATATATGATTTTTGGTCGAGTGATTACTATTTTCACAATGAGTCATATGTCTAAGAACGTACATAATATCGCAATATTGGAAAATTATTTACAAAATTATAACAATAATTAACTTTTATAATAAATAACGCTATTAAAATTCTCGAATTGCAAATTTTGCGTAATTTATGCATTTAATCAACTAAGAATCGTAGTAACTGAAATTTAAAATAAATTATTATTTTGACATGAAATCGATTTTTTGAACAGAAATTATTTCTTTAATGATATTTATAGAGGCACAAATATAATTCGTTCGCGACGCTTTATTTTTCGATCACTTAAATAAAATTTGAGGGTCGGATTTAGTGGGGCGGCGGCAACAAAGGCTGAAGCCCAGGAGCCTCCACAAGAAAGGGGCCTTTACACAAATTTTTGGGTAAAATTTCCTATCGAATGGTATACAATACTACAAAGTCTATGTATATTGCTTGACCTTGTTATTTCGCAATAAATTATTTAAACAACGTAAAAATTAAACATTCACATTACATATAATTCGTATTATATATGCAATGTAAATATTTTTAAAAATCAAGAATGATGTTGAACATTATACATTAATCTTGATTGTACAGCTTTGTAAAAATGATATATAATTTTTTGATCTTATATTATAACTTTTAATTTTAATATCCTATAAGAAAAACCTTATATTAAAATTAAATATAATAAATATTACATAACTATATTAAAATTAAGTATAATAAATTATAATATAATAAAGTTATAATAAATAGATAATCCTACTATATAAAATATTATATCTAGCAATCCTAACAATCCTAATCATTCTAAACAATTTTGGTGATCCTAACAACCCTAGTAATCTTAACAATCCTAACGATCATAACAATCTTAATGATTCTACCTAACAATCCTATTAAGGGATCCTAACAACTTTAACGATCCTAATAGTTTCAATGATCCTAACAGCCCTAAATACTCTGCAAATTAAACCAGCGGAAATATGCGATATTTGAGATTTGAGGAATATGTCTTAATTAGGATTTTATTACACGAACGCAGTGTTTCTTTATTTTTCGCGAGTTTCTGAGTTTATTTTTATACGTTATTATTTATTTTATGTGTACCCGTTTATTTTATCCGTTTAATTTACGCGTTTATTATGTGGCATTGCAGATTGTTAGATTAACTTACTTTTCGAATATGCAGGCATTTGGCTATTTTTAGCCAAGGATAAAGTAGCTTTGACCTATATCATAGGTCAATGAAGGAAAAAAACTCCTTCTATTGTTGGCTACTTATTTTCACTGGTACATGCGGATAATTTTACGCTCATTTACAGTCGTAATATTATGACTTTTTGTTATCGTCTTAATATAATTTTGCTTTAATTAATATAATGCTATATAATGTCAAGTTAATCAAAATTAAATGATTACAATTTTTACAATATATAATATTATTTATAATCAAAAATTTATAATAAAGATTTACGATAAAATAAATTAATTCCACATTATTTATACATTTTTTATTATATTTTCACTCTATAGTATCATTTATTGGTCTTTATAAACATTACATATGGTTTAATAGATTGATAACTTACTTAGATTTATATCAATTAAAGCAAAGTTTTTTAATGTTACACTACATAAAAATGATGGACTATAAAAAATTAAAATAATGTCAGTATGCATAAAAGTAAATTATTATATAGTATTAAAAAATAAAATTACTAGTATGTTCTTTATATTTTGTATTTATGTACATTATTTATTTTAAATAAAATAAATAATTGATTATAATGTAAAATTAATAAAAAAATGAAAATTTCCTTTAATTAATATTTCAATTTTGCATTTTTAATAAGCTTTAATGTATATTGAAAAAAAACTTTAAAAAATTATATGATTTAATTTGTTCTAGCCCATTCATTTGAAGGTAACGGGCCTACAATCTACAATCTACAATCTACATCTACAAGTTTTACAAAAATCCGTTACCTTAAAATTAAATAAAAGTTTTTCACTCACCGACACTGATGTGCAACAGCGGAGTTGTCAATATTGAAGCTACGTCTGTAACATACAAACATAAAATTCATGTAATTAGCGGCTCTTAAAATAATTAATCTTTCATTATATTTAATTATTATTGTACGCACCGAATTTTATATCCGATATGTGCAATAATAAACAAATAAATAAATATGCAATAACTTTTTAAATTCAGAAAAACCTATTTTTTTAAATAGAAAGTTTTATAGGATTATTTACATACAACCTTTTTTCTTGGAGTCTTTCTTGTTTCATCATTCAAATAAATGACTCAAATTACTATGACTAAAATACGTGTACGCGATATAATAATTAATATAAATAAATAATATAAATAGTATTCACCATCAGGTTGTTCCGCCGATGCAGGATGCCTTTCCTAGGCCTGCGCCTCCTCTCAGTCTTGGACGCGCGATACTTTACGGCACTCCCGCACTCACGAGCGATATTTTTATCGCTATTTTCGCACTTTCACGCGCGATACTGAACGGTACTCCCGCACTATTTCGATGCAATTAAAAATTTTATATTTGATCGCGCGATGTATATATTTAATATGTATATACTTTTAACGGCACTCCCGGTTTCGATACGAGCAAAAATCTCATTTCACGACACGTCGCCGTCCGCGACACGTTGACGGCATCGACGGAAAGTTGACGACGCAATGCGATGCAATGAGCCATTGTTCGACTCGTGGTAATGCTATGCTGGGTACTTAGCTTCCCCTTCAAGATCCTTGGGATTTATTCTAAATAAAAAAATTTAAAATAAACCTCAAGGCACCATCCAAGTACTGAGCCACCCCACCACGTCAAGGTGTATCCATGGGGGGTTGCATTATATAAATTTATAATATAATATAATTTATATATATGAAAGAGAAAGAGAGAAATTTATATTATATATAATGTTATATAATTTGTGTATGGGATTGATTATATCATTCAATAATGTAATCTGACTCATATAGCTATCGATTTTACGTCATGTACAAAATAAGTATGTAAGCATTTAGTTAAAATAAAAATTTTTTTTCTCATTGTAATGTCTACTTATATGAATATTATTGAACCAAAGATTAGGTACACGACGATCATTTTTTTTAATAAAGGAAAATTGGAATCTAATTCACAGAAA